CCTCTTAGAGGTACCCAGGGGGGTGGTATGTAATTGTCCCAGGTCACAGGGTGGGGGCTCGAGCCGGTTTTGCATTGTATTATTGAAACGGAACCCCTAGATACAGAACCCGGCCCTTGTTGCTGCCAACTTAGATGGGCAGAAGGGTTACATAAGCATAGATCCTGAAATACCAGTCTGTGGCAAATTCCATGCTTGGGGCATGTAGTCTCAGGTGATTGCTTTAGCCCAGTACCTTAAGAATATGGAAAAGTTACACATAGAAGTTGCATATCATAGAATATCAGGGTTGGAAGGGACCTCAGGAGGTCATCTAATCCAAGCCCCTGCTCAAAGCAGGACCAATTCCCAACTAAATCATCTCAGCCAGGGCTTTGTCAAGCCTGACCTTAAAAACCTCGAAGGAAGGAGATTCCACCACCTCCCTAGGTATCCCACTCCAATGCTTCACCACCCTCCTAGTGAAAGTTTTTCCTAATATCCAACCTAAACCCCCCCAACTGCAACTTGAGACTATTACTCCTTGTTCTGTCATCAGGTACCACTGAGAACAGTCTAGCTCCCTCCTCTTTGGAACCCCCTTTCAGGTAGTTGAAAGCAGCTATCAAATCCCCACTCATTCTTCTCTTCTGCAGACTAAACAATCCCAGTTCCCTCAGCCTCTCCTCGTAAGTCATGTGCTCCAGCCCCCTAATCATTTTTGTTACCCTCTGCTGGACTCTTTCCAATTTTTCCACATCCTTCCTGTAGTGTGGGGCCCAAAACTGGACACAGTACTCCAGCTGAGGCCTCACCGATGTCGAATAGCGGGGAACGATCACGTCCCTCGATCTGCTGGCAATGTCCCTACTTATACAGCCCAGAATGCCGTTAGCCTCCTTGGCAACAAGGGCACACTGTTGACTCATATCCAGCTTCTCATCCACTGTAACCCCTAGGGCCTTTTCTGCAGAACTGCTTCCTAGCTATTCGATCCCTAGTCTGTAACAGTGCATGGGATTCTTCCATCCTAAGTGCAGGACTCTGCACTTGTCCTTGTTGAACCTCATCAGATTTCTTTTGGCCCAATCCTCTAATTTGTCTAGGTCCCTCTGTATCCTGTCCCTACCCTCCAGCGTATCTACCACTCCTCCCAGTTTAGTGTCATCTGCAAACTTGCTGAGAGTGCAATCCACGCCAGCCTCCAGATCATTAATGAAGATATTGAACAAAACCGGCCCCAAGACCGACCCCTGGGGCACTCCACTTGAAACCGGCTGCCAACTAGACATGGAGCAGTTGATCATTACCCATTGAGCCCGACGATCTAGCCAGTTTTCTATCCACCTTATAGTCCATTCACCCAGCCCATACTTATTTAACTTGCTGGCAAGAATACTGTAGGAGACGGTATCAAAAGCTTTACTAAAGACAAGGAATAACACATCCACCGCTTTCCCCTCATCCCCAGACCCAGTTATCTCCTCATAGAAGGCAATTAGGTTAGTTAGGCATGACTTGCCCTTGGTGAATCCATGCTGACTGTTCCTGATCACTTTCCTCTCCTCTAAGTGCTTCAGCATTGATTGCTTGAGGACTTGCTCCATGATTTTTCCAGGGACTAAGGTGAGGGTGACTGGCCTGTAGTTCCCCGGATCCTCCTTCTTCCCTTTTTTAAAGATGGGCACTACATTAGCCTTTTTTCAGTCATCTGGGACCTCCCCCCATCGCCATGAGTTTTCAAAGATAATGGCCAACGGCTCTGCAATCACATCAGCCAACTCCTTCAGCACCCTTGGATGCAGCACATCTGGCCCCATGGACTTGTGTTCGTCCAGTTTTTCTAAATATTTTTCTAAATATTATACATAAACCACTGAAAAGTATTTAGCTTTGATCACTTTCCCTAGTTTCACTTGCAAGGGACCTTTCACAGATCAGAAAGAGGCATAATTAAACAAGATATTCTTACACTGAAAGCTGCCCCACCCCCAATAAAATTACATGACAAAATGGACAAATTTATTAGCAAAATATTTTGCAAAATTTAAAACTGAAGTTACACGATTGTTTGTAAACAAATGTACTAGACACTCTTCCCTTTCCCAATAAAATCATAATTGACACATTAGGTCACATTCGAGAGAAAAATAAAAAAAAATTCGCAAGACTTCCACAGGAAGATTTTGTACAAACCTGGCAGTGTGTCACTGGATCACACAAGCTACCTAAACATCTGAAACATGTTCATTTTCGTAATTCTTCATGTGAGGTTCACACATATGAAATTTTTAGGTATGCTACAACATGAAGTATGCTACCTGACGTGTTACAACTCACTGAAAAGTAAAAAAAGATTTGAACCAGGCTTTGAAAAAAAAAAAAAAAATCAGCGTAATCAAGAGTCACTATATGTAAATGATGGCCTTACAAGGTCTGCTGTTAGTCCCAAGAAGTTTGGGCTGTACTTTTAGAAGCCAGTCACGCTTCAAAATACACATTCTGCACTGGAGTCTTCAGAATCTTCTAGGACCTTGAACACTCCCACTTTTTCTTTTTCAACTGATTCAGACTTTTTCATTTGGTCTAAGAGAAAAACAAAAGTAAAGGTTAAACAAAATTGTGTATAGTCTTACATTGGAAGTAGAACAGTGTAGAGAAAGAAGCTTGTTCCTCCTACTAGCAGATGCTGAATGAAATACACAACATACTGAATGTTAGTTGTCAATAGAATTGGGCAGGAAATGGTTACCCCATCCCAAATCAGGAGGAAAAACAACAAAATCTGAGACTTTTTTGGTTGAGGTCAATTGAAACATTTCATTTCAATAATTTCAATTTTTTTTTTAAATGAAGGTTAAAATGAAACAAGAAATACTATAAATTAGCTCGTGTTTCAAAACAAAAAGCTGTTTCAGCCTTTACATATAAAATATAAGGGAAAAATTCTACACATGTTACTGTCAAATAGGAAAAGAGGACCAAATTAGTTTTACTTACCAATAAGATCACTTCTATCCAGCAGTAACTCTAGATCTTTGTCACTGATTATTCTCTCTCTGGATCCTTTAACCTCTCTATAGAAATAAGAGTATCTTAGTCTAAACACTGTAGTTCTCAACATTTTTCCACACAAGGACACCGCTTTTCCATACCAGAATCCCCCAGGACCTCCCCTCCCATATAGCAGAGACCCACAACCCATTTAGCAATATCGGAAGGGCAGGGTCGTTGAGATCCTTAGACACTTATTTGCATCTCCCAGGTCTAACAAAATGTGGAAGTTAACATACCTTTCATAGTCCCTGGATTTCAGTAATTCCATTAATTCCTTAGGATCCAAGCAGCCCTTTGTTTGGATTAACCCAGATTTACCACCTTTAAACTGATCTATAAAAAGAGAAACCTTTCTTGAATATAAAGGCTGCCAAATTACCAATGAATTCTATAAACTGACATCTAATATATGCTGTTAACCCAACAGAGAAAGAGAAAGAAACTATTGTTGGATATACTTGGATTTGTTGCCTAAACATATACCAAACATGCCCTAAATTGTGATGACTAAATTAAATAGTGAAAGTCAGAGCTGCATGAAAGGTTTTCATGTAGGCCTTTACTTTCTAATTGTGGCTCGCAAAAAAAAAAAAAAGGTTGCAAAACACTGATTTGACATGCACACACACAGTGGAAAAGCTATTAGTTCTACTTACAGTAAAAACATTGCAAATAAAGTTAGATGGTGGATGCCGAAGTGTGTCCCGTTTGCAATGTTGCTGATTGAAACAAAGTGAGGCGTATTATCACTACAAGATAGAGAATAAATGAAAGATATCCTGCCCATTTTATTGGGGTGTATTTCTCTCAATCAGTGAATTAGCTATAACTGTTTTAACATTTTTAAAACAAGCACATTTCTTCAGATGAGAACATCCAGACACCTTTTTGTACCCAAATCTGGATGTTTTCCAATTCAGATCTGAGTGTGGGAACAGAAGAGAAGTCTTCCAGACAATAGTATGTACTGGTGTTGTAAAAACAAGAGATATAGGTTCAGTCAAAGTATGACTAAAGATGAGACCTGGAAGGTTTAATGAAAGAGGTGTCATTTGGATCAATTATCATGTCTATCAAGAAATGGTATAAGATTACTTCTAATTGGCCAAGGACAACACAACACACGCCCAGAAGGCCTCGCAGCTTTCTGTTATCATTGGACTCACCCAACCTTGCCTGAACTTTTGTTACATTTACTGAAGCATCTGCCCATCCTTGTCTCCCCCATTATGCACCTCTTTCTTTCCTCAGTCACATCTAAGATCTTGCTTTCAAACCCCACCACGCACCCCACTAAGTTTTTGTTAATTCTCCCTGTAGTAGTGCTTTAGTACTTAACATATGCTACAGGTTAACAATGTACTTCTCAGATGTAGAAAAAGTTGCATGAAATACTGAGAAACAGTATGTAATCATTTTGAAGAGACACGATCAATGTATATACACAGTGTGCAGAAATAAGTTTACATGTATAACTTTACTTTGAGATTTCCTGACTTGATATCTTAACCATAATCTTCATGCAGCTTTTTTAAAGTGATGTTTCCTATGGGTTTTTTATTTTATTTTATATATATATAATATATAAGATAAAACAAAATGCATCAAGATCTGAAAGCTCTGCTGATTTGTAACCAATTCCAAATCTGGAGCTACTTCTATTTTACCAGCCCTCTGTAAACACTTCCAACATGACTTTTGACAGGAGGGGTCCTGGAAGAGACCACTGCTTAAAATCTAGTACTTAGTTACAGAGAAGAGAAAGGTTTAGCAAATAATTAATGAGAAGAAAAACATTTGCATTAATGCAATAGGTCAGACTGCTCGATTAACACATCCCATGCCATGTGTCTCTTCTCCTTTAGTAAAGGACTTTACATTTATTAGTCCCAATCCCTCCTACTCTCTTGCTGCCTGAAGCCCTCATGTCTCTTATCTTGGTAGGTCATTTTACAGTTTTTCCCCTTTGTTTGCACTACTCCTCCCATTTTAGTTTATCTGCAAATTGGCTCAGTTGCATTTATACCAAAGAAATTCCTGAGAGAGATGCTTTTCCTCCTATTTTAATAGGTCATAAAAGCCAAGAAATTTGCTGGCAGATACTAGAGCCGTAACTGGGGAAGGTTGAGAGGGGTAGCCGCCCAGGTGCAAAACCACGGGGACAGAAATATAGGGCAGTGTGGGTGGGGGATGTGGGGGTCACTATGACGAGCGCCTACCACAGTTTGGTGGGAGCCACCTGGCCCACTCTTGCCTCTCCCCCGAAGGAGTCCAGACCCTGTCCGCAGAGCCCAGCTGCCATGAGATGCTCCCTGAGGCACTCGCCCCACCACTGCCCTGCCCAGAGGAACGCAAGGGCAGTAGCGAGCAAGTACCTTTGGGGAGAGGCAAGAGCAGGCTGGGTGGCTCCCACCAGCTTCCAAGCAACCAGAAGGCAATGGTTTTCAAACTGTGGGGGGCGCTCTTCATAGTTTGAAAACTTCCGTGCTAAATGGAAGTCAGACATCTAGGGGGGGCATATGCCCCCATATACCACCCTCCTCCTCCAATTCCACCCCATTTTTCTACCCGGACGGCTGCTCCACTCTGTTTACAGCCCTGGCTAGATATCACCATGATGTAAGTGGAGTATAAAAAACAGACTAGGCTAAAAATCAGAGCATAGAATCATAGAAGATTAAGGTTGGAAGAGACCTCAGGAGGTCATCTAGTCCAACCCCCTGCTCAAAGCAGGACCAACACCAACAAAATCATCCCAGACAGGGCTTTGTCAGGCCAGGCCTTAAAAACCTCCAAGGAAGGAGATTCTACCACCTCCCTAGATAATACATTCTAGTGCTTCACCACCCTCCTAGTGAAATAGTTTTTCCTAATATCCAACCTAGACCTTCCCCACTGCAACTTGAGACCATTGCTTCTTGTTCTGTCATCTGCCACCAATGAGAACAGCCTAGCTCCATCCTCTTTAGAACCCCCCTTCAGGTAATTGAAGGCTGCTATCAAATCCCCCCTCACTGCTCTTCTGCAGACTAAATAATCCCAGTTCCCTCAGCCTCTCCTCATAAGTCATGTGCCCGAGCCCCCTAATAATTTTCATTGGCCTCCGCTGGACTCTCTCTAATCTGTCCACATCCTTTCTGTAGTGGGGGGCACAAACCTGGACACAATACTCCAGATGTGGCCTCACCAGTGCCAAATTGATGGGAATAATCACTTCTAATGCAGCCCAATATGCCGTTAGCCTTCTTGGCAACAAGGGCACACTGTTGACTCATATCCAACTTCTCATCCACTGTAATCCCCACGTCCTTTTCTGCAGAACTGGGATTCTTGCATGGGATTCTTCCGTCCTAAGTGCAGGACTCTGCACTTGTCCTTGTTGAACCTCATCAGCATCACTAATTCAAGACTGGCAAATATCACCCCAAAACTAGCAGTAACCTATGATCTACACTTTGAAAAACATCACACCAAGCAATTTAACTCTCTCATTCTCCCTGTCCCCACCCCAACATACAGCTTTTGGTGTATTATGGGAAGTCCTTACCTTCTTCTGAAGTTTAAAGTACAGGCTACTGTCAGAGGCCCACCAGATTATAAAAAACTTCTTTATAGACAACTTCCTATTTCAGTGGATTTAGTGCTTATGAAAAAGGCCAGAGTGCAGGATTGTTAAAATTTGATCAACAGAATAATTATAGCAGATTTATCACAGTGCCCAATCAGTATGCCTTCACCAGTAACGATGAGAGGGAAATAGTTCCACCCAACCATTTGTTACTTGGGTTGTGCAGAGATTACCAACTAGGAAGTCAAAATAGCAGCAAGTAAATTATTGGATTGTGTTGCATACAAAATGAGACATGTAAACTATTTTACCAGGGTTATTTTATTACAGAAATTACTTTAAATAGTAATTTTTGGATAGTTTCTGTGGGCAGGGTCCTGCAAATGCCATGATTCTGTGACTGCAAGACTGGCCATCTGGACTAGATGGTACAGAAAACCCCAGTAGAACTGAATATATATCTATAGGGGTGCAAATTCTGCTGATTTGAACGTTGTCACACAACATATTGTTCTCCCTGCCTTCCTCTGCCTCCCCACATTTCAGCTGATTTCAATGGATGTGATCCAAAGCTAGACAAGTTTGCCTGTGCAGCTAGTAAGCCCCTCTCTCAAAGCTTCAGACCAACTTAAAGACAGTTCTGAATCTTGTCCATAAGACATTTTCTTCCCTGAAGGTAGATAACTGTAAATCTGGAAGCTGATTTTGCCAACAGCTGTTTCATGTCCCCAGTCATCCTGACCACTCTCGCTCCTTACTGCCTGGTTTCATTCCTGTTTCTCTCCCTGGCCAGCACACACTGTCCTTGCTCCTCACTCTCCCCAAAAGCCAGGAGGAGGTATAGCACACACTGACCCCAAGTTCCGCAGCAAGGGCCCATTATTTTAGTGGCAAAACAAATGAGGCAGCAGTCTGAAATGCATGAAAAGAGTAATTTGCAGCCAAATTCAGCATCATGTCACAGAATTCAGCCTAGATGCTAAAGAATGCACGGAGTGCTGATTAGAAGGGCTAAGAGAAACAAGCATATTTAGAAAAAGGAGATGAACTACTTACATATAGAGAATCTCTCTGTTAACAAGGACAACTAGAAATAATCTTGAATTACAGCAAGAATTCCCCACAGTAACTTAATGGAACAAAAAAGTTTTACAGTTCTGAAGAATTAATTTACTAACTTTTATGAATAATCAACTTCTCTAGCTTCCTTTTGGCAGCAGCTCTCTCCACAATCTTCTGGTCAACAGTATTTGCTGTCACGAGGCGATAAACAACAACTGGCTTTGTCTGACCAATTCTGTGACACCTGTCTTGGGCCTGAAGGTCAGACTGGGGGTTCTAAAATGAATGAGATTAAAGAAATCAAATTAGCTTAATTGTTAAAGATGCACAATGGGTTCCATTTTCCATCACTCAGCTTTCCAAGCTGTCACTTTTCAGCCTGTAAAATCTACCACGGGGGATTTTGTATAGTGGGAAGTGGGAAAGATTGAGAAAACACAGTTCAGATGTTCTGGAGAATGAGTGAGAGATATTTATCCCTTTACTAAAAAAAAAAATCTGTAATTAATGATGGAATTAGCCCTCACTGAAAAATACTTTTGCTCCTGAATTCTCAATTTGTTTATTTGGGAAGGGATATGCTAAGTATGCTTGTGCAGCCTAAGTAGCTGTATACTGAAAAAGTTGAAGATGTACAAGTCCATAGGGATTAGACTCCTAACAGCTCTTCAACCATCCTCCTGAGACTCACAGGAGGCAGTGGGGTTGTAGCTGGCTGGAGCTTTAGGATGTCAGTTGACTGGGGAAATTTTGGGGACCAGAAACCAACAAGGCAGCTGTTGAAATAGGGAAGTTTGCAAAAGTTGTCTGCCCAAGAGGGCTCAAACTTCTTTAAGAGCTTTAAACTTCTTCTCTCCAAGGTAGACATTTTAATAATTATCAGCACTCAAGCAGTACGCATTCTTTTCAACTAGCAGAAAAGCCTGTTTTTAAAAGGAAATTCAGAGGATCAGCCAGTTGCCTACAAAGCAATCTTAGGTGGTTTGTATAGGGCAGCACATTTTTACTTATTACCCTAGGCTACATATTATTCTGAATATATATATTTTACTATGAAATTTTCACATACATTACTTTCATAGACTATCTGGTAAAGCATCCCATAACACAAGATGCTAAGTGAGTATCTAGGGTTACAGTAGAAAGTTGTATGATGTAGCATTTGAGAAACAGTATGTCATCTTACCCAGTCACTATCATAGATGATGACAGTGTCTGCTGCAGTCAAATTAATGCCCAGGCCTCCAGCCCGTGTACTCACTAAAAATATGAAAACTTCAGGATCTGTATTAAATTTATGCATCTGGAAAAGAATACATGTAACATGAAACAGCATACAGAATAAAAGGATGTGGTCAGTGGGGTTTTTTTTAAACCCATGTTTTAAATTAAATCAGATGATTAAAAATATATTATTTGCTTTGTCTTTCTACAAGGCATTACATATAAAGCATACCAACAGAGGTTGAATTTGTTGCAATTAGTTGAGTTGGATGCATGCACGTAAGTATTTAAGCTGATACTTACATTTTCTTCTCTCTCTGTATAGGACATGGATCCATCCAAACGACTAAATTTGTAATTCCGCAGATAGCAATAATCCATCAAAATGTCCAACATCAGTGTCATTTGTGAGAATAGCAACACCTACAAGTAGTTAAGATTCCTCAATATCCCTATTTTAAAAAATAAAACCAAACACCAAAAACCACACACAAGGCAACTGATCAGTTATTATCCATATTCATAAACAAAAATACCTTGTGACCTCTCTTTTTCAGTTCTGGCAGCATCCGGTCCAAAAGTAGGAATTTGCCTGAATTCTTCACTAGATCTTCATCAACCTTAAAACAGAGTAAAAAGGAAAAGTCAAGATTTACAATCTCTCAGATGCATCAACATTCAGGTACTAGCGATGACAGTTAATGCACTAGGCTTCCACCTGCGTGGCTAATCCTATCCCATCCTTGTCCAGTCTAGATCATTTGATTGTGTCAACCATTAGTTGTGGCTCAAAGTTCTTGACAACCTTTAAGTGGCCCCTCTGAATAATAGTGGATTCAACTATATGGCAGTCATGCTCATGTTCGTTTGCAAGACTCTATTTTGAATGAGATCCTTTGGTTTTCATTAATGGCTTATTAAGGGTTAGTAAAAATGTTAGAGGGTTAAAGCTCCCAAATATACATTATATATCATCCAAATTCTTTTTCCCTTTTCAATATAGTAAGAGGGTTTATGTAGTATAAAAAAAACAAACTATTAAGATGATCTTTATATATATTTATTAATTTGTATATATCTTGAGTGGGGGGTTGGATGTTGAGCTCCAGAAAGAACATTTTGTCTTGTATACCAGTTCTAGGAAGCTCTCTCTAGAAGTGTGTGACACACCCAGCCCAGTGGGGTACAGGAGTCTGGTAGAGGGCAAATATACTGGTCACTGGATGAGTAGTTTTCTGTTCCCTGAGTGACCAGAGCAGGGGCTGCACTAGAGTAATCAGGAACCTGCTAGAACCAGTTAAGGCAGACAGGCTAATTAGGACACCTGGAGCCAATTAAGAAGAAGCTTCTAGAATCAATTAAGGCAGGCTAATCAGGGCACCTGGGTTTTAAAAAGGAGCTCACTTCAGTTTGTGGTGGGAGTGTGAGGAGCTGGGAACAAGAGGCGCAAGGAGCTGAGAGTGAGAGGGTGTGCTGCTGGAGGACTGAGGAGCACAAGTGTTATCAGACACCAGGAGGAAGGTCCTGTGGTGAGAATAAGGAAGGTGTTTGGAGGAGGCCATGGGGAAGTAGCCCAGGGAGTTGTAGCTGTCATGCAGCTGTTACAGGAGGCACTATAGACAGCTGCAGTCCACAGGGCCCTGGGCTGGAACCCGGAGTAGAGGGCGGGCCCGAGTTCCCCCCAAACCTCCCAATTGACCTGGACTGTGGGTTCTCCCAGAGGGGAAGGTCTCTGGGCTGTTCCCCAACCCACATGGTGAATCTCTGAGGCAAGAAAATCCGCCAATAAGCGCAGGACCCACCAAGATAGAGGAGGAACTTTGTCACACTGGTGTCAGGAGTGGGATCTTGGGGTGCACAGCGTGGCAGAAGAAGGAGGGTGATTTAAACAAAAAACAAACAAAAAAAGGGAGGGGGTTTATTTTTTTTCACCACAATGGATGACGTAGTGTGGGCACTGATACAAGCTATGACGGCCCAGCAGGAGGCTACCCGTGTCCAGGCAGCCACCCAACAGGAGGCAGTGCAGCTGCAGCAAGAGACTAATCGCCTGCTGATGGACCAGGCTGCTCAAGACCGAGCTATGCTGTGGGAACTGGTAAACCAGGTAAAGTCCCTTACAGAGCTGAATCGCGGCCATGATGGGACGCGGCTCATACGGACCAGCCATTGGCTGCAGAAAATGACATGGGAGGATGATGTAGAGGCATACCTTCTGGCCTTTTAGAGGACAGCCCTACGGGAGGCCTGGCCTCGAGATCAGTGATCTGGCATCCTTGCCCCATTCCTGTGTGGGGAGGCCCAGAAGGCCTACCATGATCTGCCTGAAGAGGCTGCGGCAGACTACCCCCAGCTGAAAGCAGAGATCCTGGCCAGATCTGGGGTAATGACAGCAGTGCGGGCCCAGCAGTATCACGGTTGGAGGTACCAGGAAGACAAACCCCGCGGTCCCAATTGTATGACCTCATCCATCTCGCACGAAAGTGGTTGCAAACAGAGTCCCGGAGTCCGGAAGAGATACTAGCGGTTCTGGTCATCAACCGATACATGAGGGGACTACCACCAGACCTTCGTGCCTGGGTAAGCCAGAACGAACCCTCCACCTATGATGAGGTTGTCGCCCTGGTAGAGAGGCGAAGGACAGCGAGGGAGCTGACCCGACCAGTTAAGGAAGAGGCACCCCGGGTTAAACTAGCAGCACCAAGCCCTAAAGTTCGGGTGACTGGGCCACCAAGAGGGCCCAGGTGGAAAAAAAGAGAGGCTGAAGGCCCATTAGAGGCCACAAAGAGTTGGAGCACTGAGGGAGAAGAGGATCGTGATGTTAGACTGCCCAAACCAAGAGACCGGGGAACGCCTAGGGCTCCATACAGCTGTTATGCCTGCGGGGAGTGGGGACACATAGCTGCACAGTGTCCCAATGCTGAGGAGCCTATGCAGTGTAACCTGGGGAACTGGGCAGATCCATGCTCCCTAATCCACTTTGTGGGGGTCTCACTAACCCCACATATGTATACCAGACCAGTGAAACTAAATGGGGTAGGGACCCCGGCACTGGTTGATTCGGGGAGTGCTATCACACTTATCTCAGGGAAGCTCGTGAAGCGTAGTCAGCTGCTGCAGGCTAAACGTACGGGGATAACGTGTCCATGGGACAGTTAGTTACTACCCCACCATCCCAGTAAAAATCGAGATCCAAGGGAACACTACTAAGGTAGCAGCAGGTGTAGTCCCTAAACTCCCATACCCGGTGCTCATAGGGAGGGACTTCCCAGGGTTGGGAAACTTACTCCCAGTAGGGGGATTGGAGAAAGATGGGGACCCTAAAATTGATGAGGCATCCACAGCAGACTGTCAACCCCCAATCTTCTCTGAAATATCCCCAGATTTGTTCTCCACTCCCAGACAGGGTAGAAAGACAAAAAGGGAAAGAAGGGCAGCTAAGGCCTTGGGAACCCGAATATTGACCCAAAGCCAGAGGGTCGCTCTTGTAGGTAGGCGGACCCGCGCAGCTGAAAAGGAGGCCACGCAGGAGGTAGAAGCACCTAAGTCTGACCCCCACCCTAATGCTTCTGAACCAGTAGAGGCAACAGAGACTGGGCCCCTAGATCTTGGGCAGATTAGCCCCGGGAGAGGAAATTTTGGACGGGACCAGGCAGAAGACCCAGGTATGACAACATTAGGAAGGAGGTGACTGAAATAGATGGGGTCCTCGTGGAAGGAAAAACCCAGGGACCAGGACCCTACTTCATAATGAAGAAGGATCTCTTATACCGGGTTGCATCAGTACAGGGGCAGAAGGTACAGCAGATCCTAGTACCTCAAAAACACCAGAACGCTGTATTAAGTCTTGCTCATAGTCATCTTTTTGGGGGGCATTTGGGGGTAGAGAAGACCCTGGCACGAGTCCTACGACGGTTCTTCTGGCCCGGAGTACATGAAGAAGTGCGGAGGTACTGTGCCTCCTGCCCGGAGTGTCAGCTGCACAGTCCCCGTCCTCACTTGAGGGCACCTTTAGTACCCCTTCCCATCATAGAGGTCCCCTTCGAGCGAATAGCCATGGACCTAGTGGGACCCCTGGAGAAGACAGCTTAGGGCCACCAATATATACTTGTTGTTTTGGACTATGCTACTCGCTACCCAGAAGCCGTCCCCCTGCAGAACACGGCCTCTAAAACTATAGCCAAAGAGCTGGTGGGGATCTTTGCCTGAATGGGGCTACCGAAGCAGATATTAACCGACCAAGGAACCCCATTTATGTCGAAGCTAATGAAGGACCTCTGTATGCTGCTCCATATACATACCCTGAGAACTTCGGTCTACCATCCACAGACTGATGGGTTGGTAGAAAGGTTTAACCGAACCCTCAAGGCTATGATAAGGAAAGTGGTAAGTTGGGACGGGAAGGATTGGGACACCCTACCTTATGTTCGCTATCCGGGAGGTACCACAGGCCTCAACTGGGTTTTCTCCCTTCAAGTTATTATACGGGCGTCACCCCCGTGGCATACTAGATATCGCCAAAGAGATCTGGGAAGAGGAACCCAATGAGGGGAGAAATCTAATAGAGCATGTAATGCAGATGCGAGACCGGATAGCCCGGGTTACCCCTATTGTACGGGAACATTTGGAGAAGGCACAGGAGGCCCAGCGAACCCATTACAATCTCCAGGCAAAAGTGCGACAGTTCCAACCAGGGGATTGGGTTATGGTGTTGGTACCCACGGCAGAAAGCAAGCTTCTGGCCCAATGGCAGGGGCCCTATGAGGTGGTTGAACCCGTGGGGGAAGTAACCTACAAGGTGCGGCAGCCAGGACGCAGAAAACAAGAACAGATTTATCATGTTAACCTTCTGAATCCCTGGCATGCACAAGAGGCATGCACAACTGTCCAAAAAGACCTAACCCAGGAAAACAAGCCTTCCAAACAGGTGAGAGTGTCTCCCGATTTAACACCAGATCAGAAGAATGAGGTGTCTGAGATGATCTTCCGGAACCAAGATGTGTTCTCGACAAAACCGGGTCAAACAACCGAGACATATCACCACATCGTCACAAACCCTGGGGCCAGAGTAACAATGAGGCCCTATCGGGTGCCAGCAGCAAAAAGGGAGGAAATAAAAGCAGAAGTAAAAAAAATGCTGGAGTTGGGGATCATCGAAGAATCCCACAGTCAGTGGTCCAGCCCAATCGTGCTGGTGCCCAAACCTGATGGCACCACAAGATTTTGCAATGACTTCCGGCGACTAAATGAAGTATCCCAGTTCGATGCGTACCCCATACCTCGCATAGATGAGCTAGTGGACCGTCTGGGTAATGCCCGGTACTTGACTACCCTAGACTTGACAAAGGGGTACTGGCAGATTCCCCTTGCAGGAGACGCAAAGGAAAAGACTGCGTTCTCTACACCAGAGGGTCTTTTTCAATATACTGTTCTCCCTTTTGGACTACATGGGGCCCCAGCTACCTTCCAGCGCCTCATGGACAAGCTATTACGCCCGCATAACAGTTATGCTGCTGCCTACTTGGACGATGTGGTCATTCATACCCCAGACTGGGAAACCCACCTGGAGAAGGTGGAGGCAGTCCTCGATACCTTCAGGCGAGCTAGCCTTACAGCAAACCCTGCCAAGTGCGCTGTAGGGTTTACGGAGGCCAAATATCTTGGCTACATTGTGGGAAAAGGTCTGGTAAAACCCCAAGTGAACAAGTTAGAGGCCATCAAAAATTGGCCACGACCAAGTCACAAGAAACAAGTACGGGCGTTCCTAGGTGTGGTGAGGTATTACCGACGATTTATCCCCCACTTTGCCACAAGGGCAAGCTCCCTGACAGACCTAGTGAAAGCCCGTGGACCTGATCTGGTGAGATGGTCTGACGCAGCAGAGGAAGCATTCACAGACCTACGGACTGCCCTCTGCAGTAACCCCGTACTGATAGCCCCTGATTTCATCAAGGAGTTTATCCTGCAGACAGATGCATCGGAAGTAGGGTTGGGGGCCGTTCTATCACAGATGGTCGGGGAGGAGGAACACCCAATTCTATACCTCAGTCGGAAACTCCTTCCAAGGGAACAAAAATATGCAGTGGTGGAGAGAGACTGCCTCGCTGTAAAATGGGCCATGGAAACACTGCGCTACTACCTGCTCGGGCGCAGCTTTGTCCTCGTGACCGACCATGCCCCTCTTCAATGGATGCAGCGGAACAAGGAGAAGAACACAAGGGTGACCAGATGGTTCTTATCCCTCCAACCTTTCCAGTTCCATGTGCAACACAGAGCAGGGAGCCGTCATGGCAACGCCAATGGCTTGTCACGTGTGCACTGTCTGGCGTCCCAAGCTGCCCAACCCCTTGGCGTTGAGCAGGGGGGAGGGATATGTGACAGACCCAGACCAGTGGGGTACAGGAGTCTGGTAGAGGGCAAATATACTGGTCACTGGATGAGTAGTTTTCTGTTCCTTGAGTGACCAGAGCAGGGGCTGCACTAGAGTAATCAGGAACCTGCTAGAACCAGTTAAGGCAGGCAGGCTAATTAGGACACCTGGAGCCAATTAAGAAGAAGCTTCTAGAATCAATTAAGGCAGGCTAATCAGGGCACCTGGGTTTTAAAAAGGAGCTCAACTTCAGTTTGTGGTGGGAGTGTGAAGAGCTGGGAGCAAGAGGCGCAAGGAGCTGAGAGTGAGAGGGTGTGCTGCTGGAGGACTGAGGAGCACAAGTGTTATCAGACACCAGGAGGAAGGTCCTGTGGTGAGAATAAGGAAGGTGTTTGGAGGAGGCCATGGGGAAGTAGCCCAGGGAGTTGTAGCTGTCATGCAGCTGTTACAGGAGGCACTATAGACAGCTGCAGTCCACAGGGCCCTGGGCTGGAACCCAGAGTAGAGGGTGGGCCCGGGTTCCCCCCAAACCTCCCAATTGACCTGGACTGTGGGTTCTCCCAGAGGGGAAGGTCTCTGGGCTGTTCCCCAATCCACATGGTGAATCTCTGAGGCAAGAAAATCCGCCAATAAGCACAGGACCCACCAAGATAGAGGAGGAACTTTGTCACAAGTGGTTATTAAACTTTTTTTCTGGTGACCTAGTTGAAGAAAATTGTTGATGCCCGTGAACCAACTGAGCTGGGGATGAGGGGCTTGGGGTGTGGGAGGGGGCTCAGGGCTGGGGCAAGGGGTTGGCGTATGGGGTTCAGGGTATGGGAGGGGGCTCTAGGGTGGGGCCAGGGATGAGGGGTTTGGGATGCAGGAGAGGGCTCCAGGTTTGGAGGAGGCTCAGGGCTGGGGCAGGGGATTGGGGTAAGGGTTTATCTCAAGCAGCTCCTGGTCACCGGCACAGCCAGGGTGCAGAGGCAGGCTTCTTGCCTGTCCTGGCACCACTGACTGCGTTGCGCCCTGGAAGCAGCCAGCAGCAGTCCAGCTCCTGGGCGGAGGCCCACAAGCAGCTCCGCATGGCTCTCACCCACAGGCACTGCCCCCCACATAACAGACACTGAACTTACTCCCTCTCATATCTGCTGTAGAAAATTTCAAAACAAGACAATCACATTGGTAGGGTTTTGTGGAGAAGCATACTATACAAGTCTAAAGCTGTTCACTGGCATTACATTACCTACAATAATTTTCAAAGAACACTGCTCTGAATGCTTCAAGATATGTACCTTAAATTGCTGTGTGGCAGGATCCAGTGGATATTCAATGAGATATGGATGGTTACAACATTTTCTCAGTAACATCATAATATTCTGCAGTTTAAGGTTGATTTCTGAATCCGTAGGAATGGTCATTTCTATCACTGGCCTTGCAATGACACACATTATTATTAGTACAGCAAAATGTCAATGCATTTCAAGTACAGTACAACCTAACAAATGTCTGGAAAACCTACCGTGAACTTCTGGATTTTCAGAATTAGAAAGAAAGGATAATACAGCTTTTCATTTATCTTGATTCAGCAATTTAGTTTCAATGTTATGCAATATTTCATAGTGTATTTAAAGTGATCTTATAAGCTATAAAGATATTGTTAAAACAGGGATTTTTTTCTTCAAGATATGCACCTTTCTTTTTCTACTTCCTCTTGCATTTTGCTGATCAGTTTTTCCAGCTCATCAGGTGTATCACCATCTAGATCACGGTAATCAACCGTTTTTCGACTCCGACGCTTTGGTCGTCCTGTAGGACTCAACTCGACTACCTCTTCCTGTAGAAAGTGATATAAATTGTGACAGTCAGCAGACGTTTCACATGTATCATTTGGAGGAAGGGGAGAGGGCAGCCAGATGTGACCCAATCCCTTGGTTTCCCAGTGATTCTCAACATATCTGCTGCTTAAAAAGAGTCTCTTCACTAACAGTACACATTTCCCAATATTCATTATTGAAGGTAAATATAAATTATTGGGAAAATATTTTATATTGCCCAGATTTCTCTGTGACATTGATGTAGTGAAGACTGGTCTGCAGCTGACATCAGAAAAAGACAGTTACCTTTTCCCGTAACTGGTGTTCTTTGAGATGTGTTGCTCATGTCCATTCCATATTAGGTGTGTGTGCTCGCCACATGCACCGGTTCCGGAAGTTTTTCCCTCAGCAGCATCAGTAGGGGACCAGCTCTGGCACCCTCTGGAGTGGCGCGCACATGCTGCGGTATAAGGGGTGCCGCCAGCTCCCCCCACCCTCAGTTCCTTCTTGTCAGGCAACTCCAACAGTGGGGAAGGAGGGTGGGTCATGGAATGGATATGAGCAACACATCTTGAAGAACACCAGTTATGGAAAAAGGTAACTCTTTTCTTCAAGTGCTTGCTCATGTCCATTCCATATTAGGTGACTCCCAAGCAGTACCAATGAAGGTGGGTAGGAGTTCATAGATTGCAATACAGCTCTGCTGAACCCAGCATTGTCTCTGGCCTGCTGAGTGATGGCATAATGGGCCGTGAACATGTGGACAGAGGACCAAGTCGCGGCTCTACAGATGTCCTGGATAGGGATGTGCACCAGGAAGGCTGCTGAGGACGCCTGAGCTCTAGTCGAGTGGGCTCTGACGATCAGCGGCGGCAGGACCCCCACCAGTTGGTAACATGTCCATATGCAAGAGGTGATCCAGTTGGAAATCCTCTGTGAAGACACTGGAAGGCCCTTCATCCTATCCGCTGTGGCGATAAAGAGCAGAGTTGATTTACAGAAAGGCTTGGTACGCTGTAGGTAAAAAGCCAAGGCCCTACGGACGTCCAGCACATGAAGACGCCTCTCTTCACTGGTCTTGTGCAGCTTGGGACAGAACACCAGGAAGATGATGTTCTGGTTCATATGAAAGATAGATACCACCTTCGGCAGGAAGGCTGGGTGGAGCCACAACTGAACCTGGTCTTTGAAGAAGACCATGTACGGCAGTTCTGAGGTCAAGGCTTTAATCTCAGAGACTTGCCTCACCGACGTCACCGCCACCAGGAAAGCGACCTTCCATGAAAGGTGGGAAAGGAAGCAGGAGCCCAGTGGCTCAAAGAACCAAAATCCCACTGTGGGACAGGGGTCCGTACCTGCGGGAAGAGTCTCTCGAGGCCTCTCAAGCATCTGACCATGATGTCATGAGAAAACACTGTCTGGCCCTGGATCAGTGGGTGAAAAGCAGAGATGGCTGCAAGATGTACTCTAATGGAAGAGTGCGCCAGGCCCTGGTTCCTCAGACGAAGCAGGTAGTCTAAAATAGACTGTATGGAAGAATGCGAGGGAGAGATGCCACGCTCGGACACCTAGCAGGAAAACCTCGTCCACTTGGCCAGGTAAGTCAGTCTGGTTGAGGGCTTCCTACTCCCCAGGAGGACCTGTTGGATCTCATCTGAGCAGGTCTGCTCCTCCAGGTTCAGCCACGCAGCATCCACACCGAGAGGTGGAGGAACGTGAGGTTGGGGTGTAATAGCTGACCGTGGTCCTGTGACAGCAGGTCCAGCCGGTTGAGCAGGGGCCAGGGAGGGGCCGCTGCCAGGTTCATGAGCATGCTGAACCATTGCTGGCGACGCTATGCTAGGGAGATCTGATAACCTGCACCTTGTCTCTTTATCTTTGCCAGGACCGTGCTGATGAGTGGAATCGGAGGGAACGCATATATCAGGCTCCCTGACCAGGACAGGAGAAAGCCATCAGAGAGGGAGTCTTTGCCCAGACCTTGTTGAGAACAAAACCGATGACATTTCCTGTTTTGCCTGGTAGCAAACAGGTCCACTTGGGGAGTACCCGACCTCTGGGAGAACATGGGTGGAGCGACCACTCGTAGTAAGAGGAGAAGTCCCTGCTGAGGTGATCCACTAGCATGTACTTGACACCAGGGAGATGACAAGCTTCCAGGTGGATTTCGTGGCTGATGCAGAAGTCCCAGAGACGGATTGCCCTGCAGCCATGGCTGGCGACGGTCTATTCCCTGTCCAGGGATCACCTGGAAAAGATCGTTACCATTCCCCCAATGATACTTACCTCACTGCGATAGTGGACCGACTGCAGGACAGTCCTAGAGGGAGTTCCATTCGACACCGCCCCTCACTCCATCGAGTTGGTTTTGGACACCTTGGACCTCGGCTGAGGTGCGGACCTCAGCAATCTCCGGACGCAGGATGTGCGGTCCCCGGAAGAGATGACATTTCACATAAACGTCAAAGAACTCAGAGCGATCCACTGGGCATTCAGAATGTTCCTACCTCACCTGTCGGGCAAGGTTGTAGAGTCCCAACGGACAACACAGTCTCAATGTTCTACATCAACAGGCAAGGGGACACGCGCTCGTCGGCTCTCAGCCAAGAGGCAATCCGTCTCTGGGACTTCTGTATCAGCCAGGAAATCCACCTGGAAGGGGTAAAGCCACCATAGGAGGAGCAGAGGGTGTCAAACAGGGAGTCCGAAGACTCCTCCAATTCCTCTGCCTGAAGCCCCAGGTGAGATGCAACCCTCTTCAATAATTCCTGGTGTGTCTTAGCATCATCCTGAGGAACTGGGTGAGAGAGTCCCGTGATAGCCTTGTCTGGTGATGACGAGGATGATGCTGGTGCTGTAGGATCCTCAATGTCCATTGGTGGTCCAGCAACTTGCTCCCCTACGTCCTCCTGGACCTGTGGGGTCTTTCCCCCCGAAGCCTCGAGCACTGGAGGGGGCCGGCATCGAGTGGGCAGCCTGTTTGACTCCCCACCGGTTCTATGGATACCATGGCACCAGCTCCTGTGCTTGGGGCCACAGGATGGGTTTTGGTGCAGATGATGTAGATGGCACCGCAGGCATTGGAGCTCGTCCCACAGTCAGGGGACCCTGCTCCATGCCGGAGCTATAACTGGAGCAGTCGGTACCCGGCGACCAAGATCGGGCAGGGCGGTGGCTCTTGTCTGACTGGTGCTGGTCTCTGCGCCTTGAGGTAGACCTGTCTGAGTGAGACGAATGTCTTGGTCGGGGCCTCGGGGACACCTACTGCATTCGGCGGATCAGCGTCGGAAATCCGGCGATCTACGCCTGATGTACTCGACCGGTACCGGGATGTCAAGCAGGACCGGGAGCTACCACGAGCCGATTGCCAGGAGGATCTTCCCAAATATGGCAATCTTGGAGACAGATGACGATGGGCTAGTGATTGGTGGCTTTGGTTCCCCGATCAGTCCCGTGATCTATACCGAGCCCTTGGAGACGCGAGGGGTCGGTCTTGGTGCTTCTGCTGGGTGAGGCACATGCCTCAGTGGGTCTGCACCAGGCTACTGGCGAGGTATGCCTCGAATCCTGCTGTCGGTGCCCAAAGTCAGGAGACAGGAAGAGGGCTCTGCTGAGCCTGCTTCTCTATCTCTGAGACGTGACGGCTTTGAGCAGGCAAGCGGTGGCGGGGTGTCCATCGCAATGGGGAACAGTGCCGCTGAGGCAAGGACGTACACGGAGATACCAAGGCGGGATCTCCTGTAGGGCTTCAGGTGTCGATGGCACCTGAAGCTGACAGAGGCCTCCACTGCTATCCGGAGTTGCAGGCAAGGTATAGGATGGGCAGCACCGCTCAACTTGAGTTGGGGCCCGACTTCCTGAAGGGGGCGTTGAGCTGCCGGCGTGGGTCTTGGCTCACCCCCCCAGCCCTCTCCTTTCGCTTGTGGGAAGTAGGAGATCTTCCCCTCACTGTCTTCTTCGGCTTCTTGGCCAGAGCCACGGAGGGAGATCAGTGCTGACTCGTGGCGATGCCAGCAGAGCACTGTGCACCGACACCCTGGTGCCAAGTTGAACTATTGCTCTGGTGCCAGAGTGGGTGCAGACTCCATCAGGAGCACTTTAAGGCAGTTGTCCTGCTCCTTTTTCGTCCTGGGTTTGAAGGACTTACAAATACGACACTTGTCACTTATGTGCCCTTTGCCTCAATTCTCAGTACACAACTTTAGATACTGAAAGCCTCATTTTTTAAGAGGAGCATGGGCACTCATTGCTCTTGTGGACTATCACAATAACCTTAACTGTCACTTGAGCAAGAGGAAGGTCTCTTAGCTGTGAACTATAGAAATACCATTATGTCCTTTCTAGGCTAAAACTAGCCAAGGCGCAACATGCTCTAAATTCTGTTCCCACTGAAGTCAACAGCAATAAATTCCAATTGAAATAAGTGGCAGAAGGATTAAGCCCAGAACTATTCACAACAAAAAGCTTTTGCTCAGTTTTATTATTTTCTTCAATAATAATCAGTGCTGAAGTTTAAAAAGATTTAAGTATATGGAAAGTTTGACAGGGTAATAAGCCAATTTTGAGCTGAGTGGCAATGAAATAATAGACAAAAGTCAAAAATCTCAAATCAGGAAAATATTTTAGAGACCTGTAACAAACAAAATGTGACACCAAAATTGATAAGATAGAATGTTTCTATTCAACTTCAATGTATAGAAATATAATATAACTAATGAGCTTTGCATCTGTACACAAAACAGAACTGGTAAAACAAAAATGTGTTTTAGAAGTCACTATTAGTGTAACCAATGCTATGGTATTTTCATTCGTGAACCATTGACCATAATAGATTTATACATTTCTGAAGTCCACATCAGTAGGTACCTCATTGTTTCCGAGCAGCTTTTTAATGGTCCGATTTACAATAGCAGTATAGAAGGTTTCTTGTTTCTTTGCCAGTGGTGCATACACCACAACTTCTCGTTTAGGAGGAACCTCAAGAGCTACATCAGATTTCAGTCTTCTCAATAAGAAAGGCGTCAAAATCTAAAATGTAAACAAATATGTATTACAACCACTAAACAGTGGGGCCAAGCTCTCTAGTGCAGTGGTCTCCAACCTTTTTACACATAAGATCATTTTTTGAATTTAAGGGCAACCCAGGATCTACCCTGCCCCTTCCCCAGGGCCCCGCCCACTCCATCCCACCCCCCCCTCCCCCCAAATCGCTCGCTCTCCCCCACCCTCACTCACTTTCAGCGGGTTGGGGTTCGGGAGGCTGCAGGTTGGGTGGTGGAAGAGAAATTCTGGTCCAGCATAGCTGGGCCTGCTGTACTCATACTACTCCTGGTTGTAATGCTGCAGAGCCATTCAGAACCTGCCCATTGAAGGGGGCGGCGCTTACCTCGTGCGGCTCCGGCCCCACGCCGCTCCCGAAAGGGGCCAATGCACCCTGTGGGGGGGCACGTGGCTCTGCGCACTGCCCCTCTCTGCAGGGACCGCCCCCACAGCTCCCATTGGCCACAGTTCCCCGTTCCCAGCCAATGGGAGCTGCGGGGGTGGTGCCTGCAGACAGGAGCAGCACATGGAGAACCCTGCCCCCAGCCCTTCCCCCAGGGCCATGCTGGGCCACTGGCCATTTCTGCAAGAGGCATGGGACTGGGACAGGCAGGGCGCCTGCCTTAGCAGCAGCCCCGATGCACCACCAGAGATCGTGATTGACTGGGAGAGTCTCCAGGATTGACCAGTCGATCACGATTGACCAGTTGGTGACCCATGCTCTAGTGGCATACATTGGTGCAATGTCATTGACCTCAACGGAGTAGTGCCAATTTACACTAGAGAATTTGGCCTGTATACACCTACACGCTATAAGCTACATACATCTTGGGAATAGGCATGTCTTTGTGAAGATTTGGGACATACTAAAATACTGAGAAATCCTTATAATGGTAATGCAGTTATTGTCTTTGAAAAGTGGCGAATTTAAAAATATTTTGAAAGTTACATTCCCTAGGATCTCTATGGACTTAAACATGTGATCCTGACACAACAATGAAGTAGTGCCCTTACTGGGATTATAGGAGTTGTCAGTGAAGACTCGGCATTTGTCAACAGTTACCACATAGCATATCTGGGAGACAAATTTTTCCTTAGAGCTAGAATAGGAAAACAGTGGTGACTGTTGGCAAGTGTTGACTTAAACAAAAAAAATAGTGACCACCTAACAATAGTTTGGTTTTGCCTTTGAATAGGTGAATAAAAACCCCATTACAAACTTGGAGAGTAAGAAGAGATTCATGCCCACAAAGCTATGCCACGGCCAACAAAATGATTTGAGATAGAAACGTGTTTGGGTCACATTCCATAAAAGAAACTGTTGAAGTCATTTGCAATGGCACACACAACTCAACTTAATGCTAATGATGGTGCATGGTACCAGTTTTATCTGCTGGTGAAACATCAACTGCTAAAGAAGTACAGAAACAAAAGTTGCAGTTAGCTTTAATCTTCAGAATTCTCAATTTCATTTCAAAACCAAAAAAAAAAAAAAAAAAAAGTAATTATCAAAGACTTATACTATTCTTTCAATCTTCTAATGTTGAGAAGGTCCAATACAAAAGAAACGCAGGAAGTGCCAACAGTGCCAAAGATACAACACCAGACCTGCTAAAAGACAGAGTTACGTTTTCAGTAACTGGTGTTCTTCGAGATGTGTTGCTCATGTCTATTCCACAATAGGTGTGCGTGCTCGCCACGTGCACTGGTGCCGGAAGTTTTTCCCCTAGCAATACCCGTAGGAGGGAGGGCCCCCCGTGACCCCTGGAGTGGCACTTGCCTAGCGCGGTATAAGGGGAGCTGCGCGCTCCCCCCACCCTCAGTTCCTTCTTGCCAGACAACTCCAACAGAGAGGAAGGAGGGTGGGATGTGACATGAGCAACACATCTCGAAGAACACCAATTACGGAAAAGGTAACTGTCTTTTCTTCTCCAAGTCATTGCTCATGTGTATTCCACAATAGGTAATTCCAAGCTATATCTGTTGGAGGTGGGTAGGAGTTCACAAGTTCCCAGGATGGAGGACAGCCCTGCCAAACCCGGCGTCATCCCTGGTCTGGGGGACAATCACATAGTGCGAGGAGAACGTGTGAACTGAAGACCATGTGGCGGCCCTACAAACATCCTGGATGGGGATGTGGGCCACGAAGGCAGCCGACGAGGCCTGAGCCCAAGTCAAGTGTGCCCTCACAATGGGTGGCAGGGGAACACCCGCCAGTTCATAACAGGAACGGATGCACGAAGTGATCCAATTGGACAGCCTCTGAGTGGAAATCGGCTGGCTCCTCGTGCGCTCAGCCAAGGCGATGAACAGTTGCGAGGACTTTCTGAACGGCTTAGTCTGCTCAAGGTAGAAAGCCAGAGCACTCCGCATATCAAGCGTGTGGAGACGGTGCTCCTCACTGGATGCGTGAGGCTTGGGGCAGACGACCGGTAAAAAAAAAATGTCCTGACCCACGTGGTAGACGGAGACCACCTTCGGGAGGAATGCGGGGTCTGGGCGGAGCTGGACCTTGTCCTTATGAAAGGCCAGGTATGGTGGCTTGGAGGTCAGGGCCCTGAGCTCCGAGACTCGCCTGCCCGACATGATTGCAACCAGGTAGTCCACCTTCCACGAGAGGTGAAACCAAGAGCACGTGGCCAGTGGTTCAAACGGGGGCCCCGGGAGACAAGCCAACACCAGGTTTAGGTCCCACTGTGGGTCTAGAATACGGGAAAAAACGGTCCAAACCCTTAAGGAACCAGCCAGTCATAGCATGGGAAAGTACCGTGTGCCCTTGCACCGGCAGATGGAAGGCCGATATGGCTGCAAGGTGCATCCTGACCGACGAGGGCGCAAGGCCCTGGGTCCTTGGGAGGTAATCAAGGATAAGCTGGATCGGCGCGGTCACTGGGGAGACACCCTGGTCCGCCGCCCACCTAGAAAATCGGGACCACTTCGCCAAATAAGCGCGGCGAGTGGAGGGCCGTCTACTTTCGAGGAGGACGCGCTGAACCTGGTCCAAGCACATCCGTTCCTTTCCACTTAACCACTGAGCAGCCACGCCATGAGGTGAAGACCCGCTAGGTAGGGGTGGAGGCGGCGGCCCTGGTCCTGAGAGAGCAGGTCCGGGTGGAGCAGCAACAGCCATGGCGGAGCTACCGCCAGGCCCGTTAGGGTCCCATACCAATGCTGCCTGGGCCATACCGGGGCAATCAGGAGGACCTGGGCCTTGTCTGACTTTATCTTCTCCAGGACCCTGCTGATTAGGGGGAACGGGGGAAAGGCATAGAGAAGCCAGCCTGACCAGGACAGGAGAAAGGCATCGGAGATAGCGCCCCTCCCCAGACCCCCCCCCCGAGAAGAACCGGGGGCATCGCCGGTTCTGCTGAGTCGCAAATAGGTCCACCTGGGGAGTTCCCCACCTTCGGAAGAGCCGGTGGGCCACTTCCGGGTGGAGGGACCACTCGTGTTGCAAGGAAAAGTCCCTGCTCAAGCGGTCCACCCTCTCGTTCCGGACGCCCGGTAGGTGGAAGGCCTTCAGGTGGATGTCATGGGCTATACAGAAGTCCCACAGCCCGAGGGCTTTGTGGCAGAGGATCGGGCTCCGCCTTGCCTGTTGATATAGAACATCGAGGCTGTGTTATCCGTGAGGACCCTGACTACCTTGCACTCTAGGTGTGAGTGGAAGGCCAAACATGCCAGCCGCACCGCCCTGAGCTCCTTGATGTTTATATGCAGGGTGAGGTCTTGAGCCGACCACAGACCTTGGGTCTGAAAGTTCCGCACGTTGGACCCCCAACCCAGGCTCGATGCATCGGACACCAGCTCCAACAAGAGGGCCATGTCCCTGAATGGGACCCCTTGGAGCATGTTGTTTGGGATGGACCACCACCGTAGGGAGGCGATCACAGAGTCTGGCACAGTGAGGACCTTGTCCATCCTGTCCGTGGCCTGGGAGAACTTCGAGGCCAACCAGAGCTGGAGGGGCCTCATCCTGAGTCTGGCGTGACGGACTATGTACGTGCACGCCGACATGTGACCCAAGAGTTGCAGGCAAACCCTGGCTGTTGTCACCGGGAACCTTGTGACTGAGTCTATGAGACCTTTCAGGGTCTCTAACTTGTCTGGCGGGAGAGAGGCCTTGGCCGATTCTGCGTCCAGGAGTGCCCGGATAAACTCTATGCGTTGGACCGGGACTAACGTGTACTTGGTGTTGTTTACCAACAGGGCCAAGGCGGTGCACGTGGACAGGAGGAGTGCAACGTGATCCCTCACCCGTGACCGGGAGGTGCCCTTGACAAGCCAATCGTCCAGACAGGGGAATATCTGGACCCCCTGCCGTCTGAGGTAGGCCACTACCACCGACATGCATTTTGTAAACACCCTGGGGGCAGTGGACAGACCAAATGGAAGGACCATGAATTGGTAATGATTCTGTCCCACCACGAAATGGAGGAAGCGTCTGTGCCCCTCGAATACGTGGATGTGGAAGTATGCGTCCTGTAGATCGAGGGCAGCGTACCAATCCCTGGGATCCAGGGAGGGGATGATGGAGGCCAGTGAGACCATGCGGAACTTGAGCTTCACCATGTACTGGTTCAGACCTCGGAGGTCCAGGATGGGCCTGAGCCCCTCTTTGGCCTTCGGGATAAGGAAATAACGGGAGTAATACCCCTTGCCCATGAACTACTCGGGCACTGCCTCTATCACTCCTAGTCCTAGGAGCCGCCCCACCTCCTGCTTGAGCGGAGTGTTGTGTGGGGGTCCCCCAAGAAGAACAGAGGCAGGGGGTGGTTTGGCAGGGAGGAAGTAAACTGGAAGGTATAACCCCGGGAAACGGTGTTGAGGACCCATCGGTCTGAGGTTAGCCGTGACCATTCCGGGAGGAAAGCACACAACCGGTTGGAGAAGGGAAGCTTTATTTGGGGTGGATTCCTGATGAGGACTGGCAGGGTGCCCCCGAGTATCCCGTCAAAAACGCCTTTTCCCCGCCCGCTTGCCCTTGGAGGATCCAGGCTGGGGGCAGGCCGAGACTGCCTCTGAGGGCATCTCTTATAGTCCCGCTGCTTCTTATGGGCAGCCTCATACTTCGGGAGGGCGGCCTGGGTGGGAGTCTGCCGCAGCTTGAATTTAGATTTTGCCAGAGCCAGGACATAGAGGCCCAGAGCCTGAAGGTCGTGCCATACGTTTTTCATGCCATGCAGCCTTGTATCTGTTTCCTCCACAAACAGAGCTTTCCCATCAAACAGGAGATCCTGCATGGAAGACTGTGCCTCACTGGACAGCCCAGAGAGTAGGAGCCATGACGCCCGTCTCACAGACACCACAGAGGCCATTGATCGTGCGGCTGTGTCTGCAGCATCCGAGGCTGCCTGCAGGGACGCCCTAGCGGCTGCTGTCCCTTCCTCCGCTAGCGCCTTAAACTCCTTCCTATTGCATTCCTGGAGGGAGTGCTCAAACTTAGGCAGGGAGCCCCACAGATTGAATTCCTACCGGCCCAGGAGAGCCTGATGGTTCGCCACTCATAACTGGAAAATCGAAGATGAATAAATTTTCCTTCCAAAAGAGTCCAGTCTCCGAGAGTCTTTGTTCTTTGGGGTCGGGGCTGGCTGACCCTGCCGTTCCCTATGGTTGACCGACCTGACCACCAAGGAGTTGGGTGCCAGGTGGGTATACAAGTACTCGTACCCTTTAGTGACTAAAAAGTACTTAAGTTCCGCCTTTTTAGAGATGGGGGCCAACGAGGCCAGTGTTTGCCTCAGGGCATTTGAAATTTTAGCCACCCCTTCATGGAGAGGCAAGGCAACCTACCCGGTGCCGATAGGGACAACACGTTAAACAGGGAGTCCGAGGGCTCCTCCATCTCCTCTGCCTGGAGGTGTTGGCTTGCTGCCACCTTCTTTAAGAATTCTTGGTGGGCCCTCAAGTCTTCCTGCAGGACACAGGGGGGAGGGACTGCAATCACTTCCTCCGGGTTGGGCGAAGAGGCCGGTGCAGTGCTCTGGGTGTCAGCCAGCACTGGAGGGTCCACCAGCTGGTCGGACTCTGGGCACGGTGCCGAGGACGTATGTCCCACCGACACTTTCCTCGGGGGTCTGGAGAGGGAGGCCGATGGTGCTTCCGAAGCTCCAGCCACCGAAAGAGCCCCCACTGGGGGCTCCGCCGGAGGCCATGGTGACCACTGGTACCATTCGGCCAGCCACAACGCTCCGTGCCACTGCACCTGCTATGGCACCGGAGGGACCGGCTGTCCGGGCTGACCAGCCTGGCCCCCCAAGGAACGGCTACAGATGGATACCGGGCTGGCGGAAGATCTGCTGCTGTCCATGGACCGGGAGGAGCAGCAGTGCCAGAATCTACGACGGCCATGGGACCGTGATCTCGACGTTGAGGACTGGTACCAACGGTAATAGCTGCTTCACAAACGGCCTCGACAGGCGGACGCCTGCGATTGATGCCCGGGGCTGCGATGTCTTGGCGGAGACTTGGAGCAGGAGTCCGAGTGGTAACTGCGTCGACAATAGTGTCATGACCAACTGTGGTACCCTCTCCGAGACGAGGACTGATGGCGACATCCGCCGCGGTCCCGTCGACATTCGCTCCTTGAGGACAAGCGGTGCTGTGAGTCCTGAACGGATGGAACCCAGCCAGACAGTCTGGTCAGCGTCGAGGGCAATCCACCTGGACTCTGCCCCGAGCAGTCGCTGGGCAGTGATCGGCGTCAGGAACGTTCACTCGACCGAGACCAGTACCGGGCTGGAGGCGGCTTTCGGGATCCCAGGGGCGGTTTGCCTCTGGAGCGCGGGGCCGACATTGGTGGCGCTCCAGGCACCGTCATGGACATGACGTCCCAGGCCGCCTGGAGGGCTTCAGGCGTAGAAGGCATCCAGCCATCCGAAGAGGCCTGTTCCAAAGGGACCGGGCTACTCCGCTCAGCTTGAGTCGGAGGCCTGGGGCCTGGTGGTGATTGCGGACTGCCCGACATGGGCCTATCCTCTGTCCCAGATTTCCCTCAGTGCCGCTGTGAAGAGGGAGTCTTCTTGGCCCTCTTGGCGTGCCCCATGGACGGGGAACGGTGCCGACTGGTCGATGGTACTGGAGGGTCATCGCGTACTGACACCGCAGTGCCGGGTACCGGTTCGGAGCGGCGTGCTGGGATTGGGGTCAGTGCCAACTCCATCAGGATGGCCCGGAGCCTAATGTCCTCTTTTGGTCCAAGGCTTAAACAACTTGCAAATCTTGTAACTTTCACTGATATGGGTTTCTCTCAAGCCGCACAAACAGTCTGCGTTGCGGGTCGCTCCTTGGCACAGAACGCCTGCAAGAGCCACATGACTTAAACCCCGGGGTGTGGGGCATGCCCTGGCCCACTGACTAACTAAACTAACTAAACAGCTAACTAACTACAGGTACTAATGTTGAACGAACGAACAGTTCTGGGGACAAACCACTGCAAAGCTGGAGCAGAGCAGTTCCGATGCACCTTCACTGGTGGCAAGAAGGAACTGAGGGTGGTAGGAGCACGCAGCTCCCCTTATACCACGCCAGGTAGGTGCCACTCCAGGGGTCGTGGAGGGTGCTCCCCCTATGGGTACTGCTAGGGGAAAAACTTCCGGCACCGGTGCACGTGGCGAGCACGCACACCTATTGTGGAATACACATGAGCAATCACCCGAAGTTGTGGTGTTATGATCAACTCTAAAGAAGAAATCTGTTCTAATAATATGCTCAGGATTAAAGGTGCAATAAAACTTTAAAACAAGAACAGCAAAATCATCAAGAACCCAGACCTGGTGCAACATGTGTAAGATGTTCTGCTCCCTTTCTTTAGCAACAATATCTTCAGCAATTTCTGTAATGCTTGTAATGTCAAACCAGGACTCAAAGCTAGAGACAGAGACAAAACAAATTCAAGTTATTTCATATACGTTGTTATTTGAATGTCTGTCAAACTCCAAATAAGTTTCTAAAGCACCTTATGTATGAAAGATGTACAATGGGTAGAATTAAAACAAGCATTTTCTTTTATCTAAGGCCAGACAATTGTAAACTGAATTATAATAAATAGAAATGTTAGTTGGAAAGCACAGTGCAATTTGTTATACAAAATAACATTTTTGCTGTAGAACTAGACCTTTGCAACCTCTTTCCAGCTTAGCACTGAATTCAAGTTGTTTTTTGGCACTGCGATGTGACAGGTAGTCATGAAGGAAAACTTAATGCTTGCTGCTTGGCTCAGAGGGTTTTAATTTTTGCTCACTGGCTGAGATATAAAAATTGTTTCCCTCTCTGTGGAAGCAACTTCAGAAAAAAAAAAAAAAAAAAGTCACTTGAGGAAGGGAGAAGTCATTCAAGCCCCTCCATCACTGAACCAAGATGATTCCGATCACTGTGTGATAACTTATCAATTTATCCAACTCAAATGAACAGATGGATAGTTGTAATGATGCAGGGCATTAGTTCTGAGTAGCTCATGCAGAACACCCACACAAACAGTCTGGGCCAACAGACCATGGCCTACCTTTTCAAGTCATCAAATACATCTGGCAGCAGGAAGTTAAGTAGTGACCAGAGTTCAGCCAAGTTGTTTTGTAAGGGAGTACCAGTTAACAGAAGTTTATTGTCAGCATTAAACCGTTTTAATTCCCTGATAAGACGACAGTTCATGTTCTTAATCCTATGTCCTTCATCCACTATCAGATACTTCCAGAAGCAATGCTACAGAAAGAAAAGAAGAGGTCACCTAGCATTTCAAGGAATGTGATCTTTGCCACATCAAAATACATATTACAGACACGACTATTAGAACTGCCTATTATGGCTGCCCAACACTCCCCATTATAAGACCCTAGCGTCATTTGCTTATAACTTTGCCAAACTTCAACTGTTTAGGCTAAAATTTCCCATGCCTAGAATCTACCTCAGGCTGGACTTTTTTGGGGGGGGGGGGGGGGGAGCGGGGTGTGTGCGTGTGTGGAATTTCACCCACAACATTCCAACTTGTTTCCAAGACCAAGGCTAACAAAAATATTTTAAATTCATGTGACTTTATCTGAGCTCTAGTGGAGCAGGGAGTTAAAATCAGCAAGGACTGACCTGTGTGTCAGGGAACTGTCTTTCTAAATATCCATAAAAACCCACCCCAAATTTGGCCATGTTATAAGCCGTGGAAAAGTCTCAGTTCGTGCATACTCAGTGAAGACCATGCTTGAGCAACAGGAAACCTTAATTCTGGCACTTCCTAACTGTTGACTTTGCAACCTTAATGTTTTTAAATGTAGTTTGTGTAATATTTTATAGTTTATATTATTCAGGAGTGCAAAAACTGATGTAGAACTGAAATGTTATTAAGTTGGATATAGAAAAATGTGTTGCACCAGGAATGCTCCTTCCTTGACTCTACAGCAAAAGCAGAGATGACCATTATTAAGCAACCTCCTGTCTTAAGTGACCACTCCAATGAACTGCACTAAATACAAATTCTACTCCAAAACCCACTCTGACACTGCACCCCATATTCTTCACAGTAATATTACAATATATGATATGAGATATGAGATGATATGAGATATGATATATAATATGATATATGATAATGGCATAATTATGATGCATTTTGTACAATATAAGTCATGTGGGGTGTCATTGAAAAAGTTATGATTTGCTGAATATGATTATCCTATTTGTATGCATGTAACATTTTTGTATATGAAGTTATGAATACTGACTAGGGATCTGTATTTCAAATGGGCTTACTCCGGAAAAACACCCACAGCCAGTCTTTCAGGTACAACAATGAAGCCAGACAGTGCCGATGGCCCATCAAAGACAATGGACCGTAGAAGAACTTAACCATCCTGTGAAGGTTCCAGGCAGCCTGTAATTAATGGCTGCTATGACTCAGGGCTTGTCTACACTACGCAGCTTTTAGCGACAAGGCTGTGTCCTTGTCGCTAAAAGTCAGCGTGTGTAAACGCTCTGTCGGTATTTTGTAGGCACTTTTATCGACAAAATATTTCCAACCTCACAAGCAGTGTTAGCTTTGTCGCAGGAGAGGGCTCCTGCTAACAAAGCCGCATTCACACTGCCACTTGCGTCAGCAAAACTTTTGTCTTTCGCAGGATGGGTTTTTTAAAGTACCCTTGAAAGACAAAAGTTTTGTTGACAACATCGTTGTGTAGTCAAGCCCTCAGTAATGTATGCAAGGGCCTGTGACCAGGCCACATGACTCTGGACTCCATCTTGGGATGCCAGTGTTTTTCCACAAGCTGAGCTTTGGGACAAAGGGTTCCCACCATATGTTAAAGCTATATAAGGAGTGACATCATCTGTTTTTCTTCACTCCCCACACAATAAAACTCCTGAGGAACAAAGACTGAGCTGGGGGAAGTGCTGGACACAGGCTAAAAGGATTTCTAGCCGTGTATGAAAGACTCGGAGATTTCAAGCTGTAAAGCAAGTGCAGCTTGTTCCTTAAGAATCTGCAAGCCTGCTTGTATCATCTCTCAGGGTAAGAAACCGTTAATTCATATCCAATCTTATAATATATTAAGCTTAGTTTGTGTTTTGTTTATTTGCTAGGTAATCTGCTTAGATCTGTTTCCTATCCCTTGTAATCACTTAAAATCTATCTTTTGTAGTTAATAAACTTGTTTTTGCTTTATCTAAACCAGTGCATTTGAGTGAAATGCATGGGAAATCGTAGCTCAAGGGGCAAAGGCTGTTGCATATTCCTCTCCACATGGGCGGGGGGGGGGGGGGGGGGGAAGAGAAAAGACACGATGAGCTTATACTGTACAAATGCCTATGCAGTGCAAGATGGTATAATTTTGGACTTATGCTCCAGAGGGAGTGTGCGCCTGGGGAGCTGAATTACTTTGGCTGTAGACTTTCTACTGTTGCTTCATGCAGTGGCTGATCAGAGAGCCTGCCTGTAACTGCAGCTGGATGTGTTCCTACCTGTGTGAATGCTGGTGGAAGTATAGGACTGGGAGGGGGTCTGCAGCTTGTCACAGCAGCACAGTGAGAGAGGGAGCCCAGGCGGCTCAGTGGTACCCCAGTTCCAGGTGGCACACGAGGGGGAACCCGTCACAACCACCTCCCCTTTAAACAACCAATTTTTGTCTATCTGTTGAGAGATCACTTAGGACAAGTTTGCATCAGGCTAATGATTATGCTTGCCTTCTTATTGTAATTTCCCTACCATTGTCCACAACCCCTTTTGGGTAACGCATTCTACTTTTTTCAGACAGTTACTAAATATGCCAATCCAGGGCTCTAGACACTGAGGGAACAGTGCACTTGGAAACTGATAAAAGCAGCTCTAACTGTTACAGTGTGACACTGCTACCCAGCAGAAAAAACGTTAGTGCTTTCTACTGCTGTAGAAACTGCAGTTGTAAGCTATATTAGAGATACTGAGGCATTCCACCTGTGAAGGTGCACTGTGTACCTGCAAGGCATTTCTGTCTCTCATGGCTATTTCAAACGAGGTAATGACCACAGGATGAATTTGCAGTGAACCTTCTCGCCTGTGAATTTTTTGAACCAATTTACGACGTTCCTGCTGGGCTCCATGATACAGCATTATGGGAATCTAAAAGGAGTTTTTATACTTCCATTAATAAGTAGCAATCAAGAACCCACACATTTTATAGTAATCACACTAAGAACTACCACTGTGGTTACAATGCATATAGAACAAGTTCCAAACCAAAACAGTTATGAGAATGAAATAATTTGCTCTTCTAAAACACTAAAAAGAAAATACTTTTTACCTCTGGAGTGAATCTCTTGAACTCGGACATCCAGTTAGGAAGAGTAGACAAGGGACCACATACTAAGAATGGTCCAGGGACTCCTCTCTCTACCATCAGTGCTATTGTAGCAATACATTGGATTGTCTTTCCCAGTCCCATTTCATCAGCCAAAATGCCATTAATGCCATTTTCCCAAAGCATCTGCATACACAGAAAGATACATATGCCTAATAAGCACTAGACATCCAGGTGAATATAAACACCTATGACTGCATTCACCATTTGGCTACTGCTATCAATCTTTTCCCATACACATATTTTCAGAGTTAGATGAATAAAATTTCTACTTGCCTAACTTAGATACAAAGGATCTGTATGCATGTGCCAGTCAAATATTTACATATACATGTGGCAGGTTAGGTGGCCAACTGGCCTTGTGAAAGTGCAAGAACTTGGACACATATCAGGTATGTGTATGCCCTTAACTGAAAGCTTATCCCCAAGTGATATGGTAACCTCACTAGAAATTTTCTGTTGACATTTTTCATGCTGGTTTCTAAACTAAAAGGTAATTTTTTATAAAGTTTGGTAAAAATTCTGCTTGGTCATTTTGAGTGAGCAAAGCAGAATATAGATACAGTATTTCATGCTTTACAAGTTAAACAAATACAGAGACATAGTTAACAAAAAACCAGCTGCATAATTGTAAAGTCATGCTTCTGCACAGAAGTAGGAATCTCCCTACATACACCTCTACCCCGATATAACATCAAAGCAAGTTCGATATAACGCAGTAAGATATTTTGGCTCCTGAGGACAGCGTTATATCGGGGTAGAGGTGTAGTTACACTGATATTTTAGCCAACTAGCCTTTATCATCTGCTTTCTAAAGTCAGCACATTGTTACCTTTAAGTCTGAGCCAAAAACAATCAGAGGAAAAAACTTGCGCAGGTATCCTTTTAAGCTTCTTTGATGGATAAAAGTCAGTGGAAAAGATTTAAAGAAAAGCTGGGAGAGGGGTTGTTCGTTTGTTTTTTAAATATTAGAAAGTTAGTGTCTTTCAGGGCAGACAAGACCTATGGCCACATCTACACTAGGAGTGCTTTGGTAGTATAGATATACTATTATACCATACAGACAAAGTGTGCTCCTAGTGTGGACACAACTTATACCAGAAAAACTGCAATTTTTTCAGTAAAGCTTATTCCAACCCCCTAGCCCAAGAGAAAACTGCTATAACATGAAAAAGCGCAGTTTTGCCAGTGTACCTGTGGCTACAGTAGTGGCATTTGCTGGCACACTTCTTCACACCCTTGACCAACATAACAGTGCCAGCAGAAATCTGTATTGTAGGTATGCCCTGTGATGACTGCAGAAGACTTAATTGGGTCTATTCTGTTCTTGTTGCTAAGTCAGACTTTCAGTTTCATCTAAATTGTGCACTTCACTACATAGGGAAAGGAATGTGCATGTAGGCTATTTATTTTTATTTTGCAATTGGAACAAATATTTGAGAGAAATGAATTTTAAAACACTTTTTAGAAGGCTCTTGGGTCAATATCATTGGTCACAAGTTCCCATAAGGAGGAAACACATGCCTGAAGCTGGGTTGGACCTGCTGGATGTTAAGCAGTTGGTATACTCAGGTTCCTGTCTAAGAGTGGGAAGATGGCACAAGATTCCACCCTGGGACATGTACGGGCAAGAGGCCTACCACCTGAAGAGGTGCACTTAGAGAGACCAGACATGGAACAGGTGTAGTTAGCCCTGTAACCATGAGCAGCTGAAAGAGGAAAGACTTTTTGTCAGAATATTTAAATCTTTTAATACATTTAACTCTAATGCCCAATATAAAAAAGTCTGTTAAAAATTCAAAATACCAACTCTCCAAATAGGTTGCAAGAGCTCACAACACACATCAGATCCCCAAGACATTCTCTAGTTAGAGCAGGGAAGACTAGACTTGACACTCCTGATATTTCTAAAGTGAAAAATCAAGAAGAAAAACTTTATGATGTATAAAAGAGGCCTGGATATTCTTTAAAAAAACAATAAGTGTATGAGCCCAATTTTGTGTTTTAGAAATCCTTTACAGGCCACTCGTAATTCCAAAACAAAGATGGAAGCACTGATTTTTGACACTTGAGATAGAGCTCATCTGAAATCAGGTAAGGAAAATCCTGCCTGAAATATCAGTACATTATAACAGGGAAAATGGAGTACAGCCTCCCATATGCATGTTTTACTCCTATTAGAAGAGTGGATTTAAGCTGTTTTCCTTCAAAACTTTCACCCGGACATTACGTGGCAATGTCCCCATACATATTCCCTTCTTTTAAAGGAACGTGCATGCAATTTCTGCAGTTCAGTCAACCACATAGGGCTGGAAAGGCCAAAGCTAACATGGACCAAGAGTTCCTTAAAAAACAAAACAAAAAACCCCAGCTCTGCACAGCTTTGGTGCCAAACCCAAAAGAAACACTGTTCCCCCAATATACTTAATGTGGAAGACTTTGAAACATGAGCAATATCATCTTCTGTTGAAATAAGTATAAACATAAGATTTAGGGTAACATACAGATTCATACCCTGAGCCATTCCATGCCTTCAACTTGGTACCACCTCATAACACCTCCTGAAAAAAGCTTTGGCTGTTGAAAGGGTATTGGCTGCCCATTAAATTTCCGTACTGGATCAAGGAAGTGCTTGGCATTATGTCGTACAGCTTGCGACAACCTATCTTTAATGACACTATTAGAATCTCCATTTTTCTGTAGGTCTTCTGCACACAGTTTGTTAGAAGAGCTTTCATCCTACAGAAGAAAGTTCAGAGAATTTAAGTACAAACATTGCAAAGCTTAGTTAACATACTCAACAAGCTGCTGAGAATTCTGGAAAATCTGCAAGTCAATGTTACAGTTAGGCAAAACAGTATCCAGCTGCAATGATAAAGGCAGATTTAATCAAAGTGTGGCTGACCACACACAATGACTCAAGCACAAAATTTCCAGTGACGATTTTGCCACCTAGCCAATTACACCTCTACCCCAATATAACGCTGTCCTCGGGAGCCAAAAAAATCTTACCATGTTATAGGTGAAACCACGTTATATCGAACTTGCTTTGATCCGCCGGAGTGCACAGCGCAGCCCCGCCCGCCCGGAGCACTGCTTTACCGCGTTATATTCGAATTCATGTTATATCGGGTCAAGGTGTAATATTTAAAACATTCAACCATCCAATGGCAATGTATCCTTCAACTCTTTGTAGTTTAAAAGCAATAATATTTACTAAATAAAATGATAATGTTGAACACCAAGTTGCTGTCCATAAAAGTGAACAGACCTCAGAACTTGACACACAAAGGACAGCATATTTCACGTGGAACTATTTCCCTTTTTTAAGCAAATTCTAGTGACCACTAGAAGTTGGCTCCCCCCACACTCTCAATTCCCTATAAGAACAACCAACCCCACTCCCCACCATCCTGCACCTTATCAATTCGCAAAACTAGAACAATTTATCATGTGTATGTCGCAAGCCTGATCTGATACTCCAGCACTCTGTTTTTCCTGAGCATATGACATATTCTGACAGGCAAAGATGTTTCCCTTGTGCTCCACACTACACTATCAAACAATTCACATTTAACACAAGACAAATTTAGGCTCCAACTTCTGGAGGCTTGAGCTTAATATTAAATCAGTGCACCATTTAACCCCATACTTTTAAAACTTCTAGTAGAGCACCTAATGATATATCAGTTAGGCATTTATTTACAGAACAAGTTTAAAAATATACCACATAAAGTCATTCATAATGTATAAGTAAAACCATCACTTTGTCATGAATAAAATCAAGTTAGACAAAAATCATACATCTTATATAGGGTTCCCAGTGCTTATTTTTCCTAAAATTGTATTTATTCTATATAAATGTAAAAAAATGCATATTTGTTTTTTTATCAGTTAGAATGAAGAGAGAAATTGAGCTAACATATTTTAGACATTTCCTCCCAGTTTAATACAGAGAACAAGCTGCAAAACTGCATTTTATACCTCTCTCTTTAGCAAAGATGTTTGGAGGCATAATCCAATAAAAAAAAATTTCAAGATAAAGAATTCTATTTTCAGATACTTATTTTAAAATCACTTATTCCATGTTGGTATGTGCAACTTAGATTAACAAATATGGATAGTTAGAAAAGTAGGTTTTCAGTAATAAACAACAATTAAAATATGGGGGCAGAAAATAAGGTAAAGACAATCTAAAATACAACGAGGAATTTTGAAATTAATTAGAGACATTTAAATTGGTTTTACAGTGTACACTTAAGTTGTAACAGTATGCATGGACATACCTGATTTTCTACTTTGCTTTTTTTGGCCACTGACAAGATTTCCTAGAAATAAAACAAAAATGCCAGTGTAAAATATGCTTTATAGCAACTTGAAAAATATAGCAATATCTATTTTTGTAGAACCTTTAATCCAAGGATCTGAAAGTGCTACCCTGATATAACGCTGTCCTCGGGAGCCAAAAAAATGTTACCGCGTTATAGGTGAAACCGTGTTATATCGAACTTGCTTTGATCCTCCGGAGTGCGCAGCCGCCCTCCCCCCCCCGGAGCACTGCGTTACCGCATTATATCCAAATTCGTGTTATATAACGCTACCCGATATCGAAGTAGAGGTGTATTATCCTCATTTGCTGATAAGAAGAACATGCACAGATAAATTAAGTAACTTGCTCAAGGTCACACAGCTGGGAATACAAAATAAAGTTCACAAAATAAAGTTTACGTTTTTACACACACGCTGGGGAGAGAAGAAATGGGTACACCTTCTGGAAGTCTGCTTAAATGCCTCATTTTGTTAACAAAGGTGTGTGTAATTATGCTAAAGAGATGATAATATAAGCTGCAGAAATCACATACCATCACATTTTAGTCAATAACCTCTCCGAAATTGCACATCAATGAATTCTATGCATGTTTATAATATGCTGCAGTACCATAAGACAGCAGTATCTGGAAGCTACATCACAAGGGAATGCTAATGTATTGAAAATATTTTTCTATTTGCTGCAAATTACATAAAATGCACTCTTACCTCTTTGGACATGACTTCTGAAATGTAATAGGTTTCATCTTCTCTTCCTCTTTTTTTCTTCACAGCTATAAGAAAATATCACATAGGCTCAAAATACTAGGTAAGCCACATCAAAAATTAATAAAACTATACTTAAATATAGACAAAAAGCAAAACCTAATGATAGATCAACCTACCAGATTTCTCCTCTTTTTCATCAGTTAGATTCTGACTCTAGAAAGTGAATATTTAAAAGCATTATCAACTTAAATATTTTCTAATATCTCTTGGATAGATAAGAGAAAGAAATAATCAGCTTTGACATGTTTACGTAGTTTGTAACTATGTTTGACATCATTTTTGAAAACTGTTACTCCCAAACACTGTAAATAGGTTTCTAAAAATAGCATCTAGCGATGTTAGAACAAGGTCCAACATAACATGCTCAAAATATACCATCAGGTAGTCTTGAATAAAGTTTGGGCTAAAAACTGTTTTTCAAAAAGTCCTGGCCCACCTTGGAAAATCAAGCCATTCTAGGTACAACTGTTCAAAAAAAGTTTAAGTATGGCTTTGCTTAAGAGGACAGTTGTGTGACATGGACATACATGGAAAAGGCTTTATGACAGTGTACGTACACTCAAGAGTAAAGCCAAAGACTGGGAAAAAAATTATTTTTTTCTACTAACTTAATTTTTAACATTTACCAATCAAGGAAAAGTTACAGCCTACTCTGAAACCTATGTTGCTGTATCAATTTCAGGGTATTTGTCATGCAGATCCCAGAGAAGCAATTTATATAAAACAGCCAACACATCTTACCGTTGCCGCTTTTAATAACATTTCTTTCTTTTTTTCTAATTTCTCTTTCCTTTTCTGCTCCTAAAAAACAAAGTTCTTACTTGTATAGAACAGCTGCAATAAATCTATCCATTACAAAAATACTAATATACACTGAGTACACACAGCGCCATATTAACAATGTAATTTGGGGACTGGTTTTGCTTTTGTAGTCATATTTTAAAATGGTGCCAAGATGAAAGCTGATAAGTAGCTGAAATTGCTTGGCAGTGGGTAAGTAGAATTATTTTGTACTGCTTTTTGCTGGATACTTAAAATTCTATCAAAAGAAAATCTGCATATCAGAAATGCTTTATCGCAAAAAAAGTTGAAGCTTGTAAGCTAGTTAAGTGTTTATTTTACATAAAACTAATGGCTTAAATGTTACGCCTTCCCTGTGATCTATTTTTGCATGACCTGTAGCTGCACTCTCAGTTTTACACGTTGCATTGTTCCAAATACAGCAGAAGTGATAATTTAACTGGACTACAGTGTCTTTAAAAGGAAGTAGTCTTCTGATTACGTTGAAGAAACTAGGATTTCTAAAGGTTAAACACTGTTACAATTCTCACTTTTCAGCCAGGAATTCTTAGAATCCCTCACAGATCTTTTTGGTACATGTAACATGGAGCAATACATAAAAGCAAGGAGTTTTAAAATAGGAACATGTTAAGCAAAATATCCTTTCCAAGTATGCATTTATACAGGTGTAATAACTGCAGATTGTTCTAATCAGATTTTTTTTTTTTTAAAAGACTGAAGACTCCAGTATTTGGGGGAAAAAGCCCTTAGTCTACCAAAAATCAATGCTCTCTCTCCCACTGCTGACCACATCTATCCCCTTGAATCCCTTCACTGTCTTCCTCTTTCCTTTTGTACCAAGTTTAAGCTTATTTCTTAACCTTAAATATTCTGTACAACTCTTACTTCACCTCTTGCTCCTTGTTCTACTTTACATTTTTGCTCCATCATCATCCTCTCGTGCCTGGTTTCCCACCTTCTTTAATGTTGTCTCTTATTTTGAAATATCTTCTCAATTTGTTGTAAAGAGACCTCTCCCTCTCTTCCACATCCCCCAAGACTAATGCCATTAATAAGAATTCTGATGATTTATTGTTATCACGGACCTTAGTTACAATAGAAGCTCTTTGGGGGCGGCTTCAGATTATTTTTAAAATGATATCAATGTTATGCAAAGGACTGTGGCACCCATCGGCTGTGACTATATTAGGAACTTAAAAAAAAAAATCACTTGAGAAGAAGCTATAATAGTTTCTGGCATTTTTAACCTGGGTTTAACTAATGAGGTGGCAAGGACATCAGACGCTCCCACTGAGGGAAATATTTTTGTAAGATTCCCTAGTGCAGACTAGGATTTACAGTGCTCTAGAATAATTAAAAAAAAAAAAAAAAAAAAATGCTGTCATTTAAACTTAGAACACATCTACCTCCAGTTGCTGCTGTTCCATTTTGGTCAGCAAGAATTTTGAATATATGTTGCTTTTTTCAAGCAAGTGTTGAAGTCTCTTGTAGCGCATTTCACTGGAGTCTCTGTCCCAGGACATGCGAGCCTTGCAAACAAAGAAGGAAAGCATATCTTTAGTCATTTCAGCTTTTACTCTTTTGAAATGAATAAAACCATTCTGTACATCTTGAACAAGACAGCCACAATTGTATTACACATATGCAGACCCTTCCCTCCCAATCATTATACACTTAGGCTACATCTACACTACACGCCACCACCATGCATACATGTCATGTATGTGCAGCTACATGACGCAGTGAAAAGCAGGCTGCAACCACACTGTGGTGTGTAGCTACACCTCCGTGAAAGGTTCTGGTACAAGGGAGGCAGCAGGGAAGGGCTCTGGCAGCAGAGAGTTGCAAGGGTCTTTCCCAGCTGCCTCTCCCTGCCAGAGCTTTCCCCATGGAGGGGAAATGCTCCAGCAGTGGGGAGGTGACAGAGCCTTTCCCTCCTGCCAGTGTCCCGACTTTTGGTGGGAGAGGGCTCCAGCAGCAGGGGAAGGCTTTACCTTTCATCTGTGGCAGGGAAAGGCTCCACAGAGGGGAGCAGCCCAACCCTTTCCCTGCTAGGGAACTCTTTTCTTTCAGAGGGGAAAGGCTCCAGCAGCGGGGAAGCAGCAGGACACTACACGGCTAAAAATAGCAATATAGATAGGAAGACAGCTTGGGTGAGTAGAGAGCATGTATGGTATATACTTACATACATACCCACTGCCTTCAGGTGTGTTTTTACTTGCCTAAGCCATGCCTCACCAGCTATACTGCTATTTATACCCATGTGAGGTGGGCTGGGTGGGTATGAACACTACACACCACCAAAAGATGTATCCCTAGAGGATTTGGACAGATAACTCCTCTCCCACACAGTTTTCAGTGTGTAATTTCTTAGATTTTAATATGCTTTCAAATAGTTTGTCAACATAAGGTTTCTAGACATATACTCAGTAAACTAAACAGCCTTTAAATGATGCCTGCTCTATACTTGCCAAACAAATCTTAACTTACAATGTGGATAGAGCCCAAATTAACTTTACCAAGCAGAGCAAGTCAGTCACACATACGCCTGGAATTAACATCTTTAGTGCCTTGCATAACAGAGAAGCTGTAGTATCTGCATTTGATACAGAGTAAAGTTATAGTAAAAACTCAGCCATGAGATTTGTGAATTACTTTTCTAAACCCAAACAAAAAAGAAGTGGAATAAAGCTTAGCACTAAGCAGTCAAAATACTAGACATTTGAAAGGAGGGTGAAATAGCATATCTAAAAACCATGTTCACCCGGATAGCTCTACAACTACCTTTGAAAAGCTCTCTGGTGGGGGAGGGAGGGGGGGGAAGAAAGGTGTGGGGAATCTTCCAGAACTAAATGGAAGGATGTTAGTAGAATGATGGGGCAATAATCACTGTATGGGAAACAGATTCACTCATTTCCTCCAGACACTGCACCTGACCACACATTACTTTGTGGAAATGCTGATGTACTCTTTGCCCTGCTAGGATGAGCCTTGAAGAGGAACTTGATGGATGGATGGATTTCTTTTTATTTTTTTTTTTGTAAGAGCCCACAACAGTCAGGCTATCAAGAAAAAGAGGGTTTGAAGCACAGGAGGGAGAAGCTGTGCCAGGGTGAGGTGACTGATTAAGAGATGTACGGTTTTCTTTTAATTTTATTGTTAAACTGGGAATGCCTTTTCTATTTTGAGCTTTAAGCCTAGATGTTATGAAAACCCTGTTTCTGCTATTCTACTATAATTTTCTCTCCACCTTTAATAAATCTTGTTTTTAAACATGATTTGACTGGTGGACTGTTGGCTGGATAATTTCACACAGACTGCACTAAAAAGATTAGAACCTCTCAGCTTCTAATGAGAGAAAATGAAGAGTAAGGGAGTTTCTGAGTCTCAATCCCCCATTGAGGGTCTCTTTTAACAGAGCATGGGCAGAGAGTCCTTCTATCAAGGTGTGTCACAAGAACTCCGGGAAGGCTAATACAAGGGAAGAAGCCTAAAGACCAAGGCCTTGACTACACTACAGAATTTGTCGACACTCAACAAGTGCTATAATAAAAATTAGAGAGGTAGCCATGTTTGTCTGTATCCACAAAAACAACAACGAGGAGTGCGGTGGCACCTTAAAGACTAACAGATTTATTCGGGCATAAGTTTTCGTGGGTAAAAAAACCCACTTCTGAAGAAGAAACACCACTTTTACCCACGAAAGTTTATGCCCAAATAAACCTGTTAGTCTTTAAGATGCCACCGCACTCCTCGTTTTTATAATAAAAATTGGTATTGTATGTTCACACTCGCTCCCTCTGTCGGCAGAGCGCATCCACAATTGGGGCACTATCAACAGTGTGAGCAATGCACCTTGAGTACCTATCCCACAGTCCAGCTGGACACCTTCTGCCACGAGGTCTTGTGGGAAGGTGGCGTAGATCATGGTGCATCTTGGGACTGGGTGCAATGTCCCATGACGCATTGTTTTCAGTCCCAGCATTCCATGGGCTTCCAGCTTTCTTTCGCAGCATTTTTCAATGGCCATGTTTGCAGTTCGCCCCGCCATCTCTGCGTGAAGGGATGGATCCTGAACTGCTCTCCTATGCTCTGATAACCGTCATGAAGACATTGCGGATGGCAGTGCAGGTAATCACAAAGTTCCTAACTGAAGAAGACTCCCAGTTGCCTGACAAGCAGTCTGATATGGATAGGAGCAACTTTAGATTGCTTTTGGCATTCACGGAACAGCTGCAGACAGTGAACCGTCACTTTTAGGCTCGGGAAACAAGCATTGAATGGTGGGATCGTATCCTCATACAGGTCTCAGATGACAAGCAGGGGCTACAGAACTTTCGGAGGTGGAAAGCCACCTTCCTGGAACTGTGTGCAGAGCTCTCCCCAGCACTGTGGCGCAAGGACACCAGAATGAGAGCTCCCATATTGGTGGAGAAGCACAAGGCGATCTCTGTGTAGAAGTTGGCGACTCCAGACTGCTACCTGTTGGTCGGTCGCGTATTAATTTGGAGTCGGGAAGTCGACCAACGGGGCTGCGTTAATGCAAGTGGGCAATTAATCACATCCTGCTACGAAGGACCGTGACTCTGGGAAATGTGCGTGAAATAGTGGACAGCTTTGCAGAAATGGGTTTCCTTAACTGTGGAGGGTCGATAGATGGCACACATATTCCAACTTCGGCACCAGACCACCTTGCAACAGAGTACATCAATAGGAAGGGGTACTTCTCCAGGGTGCTGCAAGCGCTTGTAGATCACGTGGGCATTTCACTGACATCAGTGCGGGGTGGTCTGGGAAGGTGCATGACGCACACATCTTCAGGAACACCGGCCTGTATAGAAAGCTACAAGCGGGGACTTTCTTTCCAGACCAGAAGATTACAGTGTGGGAAGTTGAAATGCCCATATTGATCCTGGAAGACCCAGCATACCCCTTACAGCCATGGCTCATGAAACCTTAAACAGGAAACCTGGACAGCAGTAAGGAGCAGTTCAACAAGAAGTTGAGTAGGTGCTGGATGACGGTGGAATGTGCCTTTGACAGATTAAAGGCACACTGGCGATGCCTTTATGGCACGTTAGACCACAATGAGGATGATAATCCCATGGTCATAGCCGCGTGTTGTACGTTGCATAATCTCATTGAAGCTAAGGGTGAAAGGTTTGCTCACGGGTGGAGTGTGGAAGCAGATCTCTTGGCTGCTGATTTTGAGCAGCCAGATACCAGGGCTATCAGAGGGGGGCAATTCGAATCAGGGAGGCTTTGAAGCAACACTTTGAAAACGAGAACCAGTAATGTATATCTTTGTGATTACATGTAGTTTTCCTAGGAAGCAATGGTGAAATTTGGGGCCTTACATTCCAGTAAGCAAATGATTAAACTGCCTGTGTATGTATTGGTAGTGCCTGCTATCTGAATTTGTAGGAAACAAATGAAGATGAGTTACCATTCAAAAACTTTGCTTTTATTGCATAAGAAACAACACACACAGACGCTTGGTAGGTAAGGAGGTACCAGGGAAGGGCAGACTTTCAGAGCTGTGTGTAGGTCCAGTGATTTTGAAAGTTGTTCACAGGGGTGGAGTGAAGGGGAAACTGAGAAGTCCCAGAAAGTGGAAAGGAATGTGTGGGCGGAGTTGAGGGGGGGCACAGAAAAGAGTTCTGAATGTGCTGCAGGGGAGGGTGGGCATGGATCTGCTCAGTCAGCAGCATTATTAAGGACTTCAGTATCTGTTTGCACTCCTCCATTACTTTAATCGTCCACTCAGTAGCATCCTTAAACTCCTGATTATCTTTTCTGTCTTGCCTTTTGGCTTTCCCTCCACTCCTTGTGTTCCCTTTTCTCTGCATTGGAGAAGTGCAGTACCTCCTGGAACATGTCTTCTTTGCTCCATCTTGGGCACTTTCTTATCTGGCAGAGCTGTTTGGATGGTGTGCATGGGGTGTTCCTCAAGGCCACATCTGCCGAAGCACAAGGAACAATGCACAGAAGCATGATTGTTAAATTCACACGCAGCATTGAAACATTTCAGTAAAATACACCTCTGGTAACATAACAATCACTTTCTCACTGACTCTTGGCAAGCACACATCTCGGCAAACACCCAAATCATGGTGAGTGTTGGCTGGGGAAGCACTCTACATGGGGAAAAGAGCATTCTGCAAGGGTTGCGTTGCAGCCAAGTAGGGAAAAAATTCTAAAGTTCTCCCACAATGAACCCCGCCTGTGGAAAAGTAACAGATCTCACTTCTGAGGGTAAGCAGGGAAGCAAGGGCACATCTACTACACACTTGTGGCTTCAGCCCTGGTCCCTGTGCTGCTTGCCTGTGTGCTGCTTTGGTCCAGGCACAAGTGATAGCCAAATGGCACGGGAAGGTTTCCTACAATGGGGGAAGGAACGAAGCAGCTCTGTCAAGGAACCTTCGGCAAAGGATTGCTGAGTACCTCCAGGAAACTTTCCTGGAGATCTTCTGAAGGATTCCCATGAGATCTCTGTGTGCATCAATACCCTGTTTTGCTGTACTGATTA